TAGCCTCTGAAGTGCAATTTCAACTCAAATCCACTGGGATTAGAGGTACTAGACTCCAAGCATCCCATTAAAGAGCTGAAATTGTGTATGAAAGTCCCTTGTATTATTATTCCTGGCATCTAAATAGGGATTTACAGCATTTCAGAAATGGTGACTGAGAGAACCAGCTCGTTACAAGCTGCAAATGCATCCTCATTTTACCCAACACCCATGTGCAACCCACCTGGGATTTAACAATCCTAAAGAGGAGGGCACAAGTGATTACAAGACTGCACCTTAGGATGTTTAAAAAGACAGCTCATTGTTTCACCATTGCCTTTAACAGGGCTCACTGAAAGGACTCAAAAGTCTGAGAGTCTTTTTTCCAGCCAAGGAGTTGAATATTAGGGATTAAATGCTGTTATGTAACAATGCCTTCCACAAGGGATGTGACAAATATTTCAGACAGGAGTGTTTGGTGGGTTTTATTTTTCTCCTTCCTGTTTAATGGTAAAATATTCTAGAAATGGACAACTCTAAAAAATAGATTACACTCCAAAAAAAAATGTATTTACAAAGGCAAAAGCCAGCATTACTGAGTGCACCTCTAAGCTTTCAGCTGTCCAAAGGAACAGTAAAATGCAGATATAAATAAGTTTTCATTACTTACATTTTCAAGATGCAAGTTAGCACAAAATATCTGGGCCCACAGAAACATCTGAAGCACTTCAATTTGCATTATGGAACAAACATTTGAGACATTTCATCTAAAAGCAGAATTTAAGTGCCAAAGATGGCCCATGACCTTAGATTGCTTGCTCTTGCAGCCCAATGACAGCATCAGTCTTTCTGCTGCTTGATAATGGTTTGACTTTACAAACAATTAGGGGGAAAAAAGAAAAATCTTCTCTGCATGTCCTTGTACACAAAGGCTTTGAACTGAACTCCCACACAGTGTGAGCACAACGAGCAGCACTTGATTATGAGAGATTTTTAAAGCAGAGCAGCTTTTTAGAACTGGTTAAAAAAAAAAAATTAAATAAAAAATTCAACAAGTTGCCATGCTTTCAGTCTGCCAGGAGATGACTGTGGGATAGGATTACTACAATATTATTAGACTGTGCCACTCACAGCTCGCTGCCAGACACAGCTGTAACAGTGCCTCTTTCATAATCATCACGTGCACAACCACCTCTGGGGAGCATTTTACCCAACCTGAGGTGCCAGCAAAGCCCCTCTCTGCTGTTCAGCTGTGTTTGTGAGCACAGACTGATCTACCTGTCTCATGCAAGTACTCACACACCTTGAAGCTATCTGGGGACTTCAGGAAAGCTTAAAAGCTGTTGCACAGCTCATTTCCACCAGCAGCCTGTTCATCTCCCCACTGGTTTTCCTGACAGGACAGCCCAACTGACAGCTCCTAACTCACCGCTCACTTGTGTTATTAACACCTTTTCTGACTTCCCCAACACCCCAGAGCAATTTGTACATCACTTTCTACACAGCTCATATCCTAACCTTTCCAACACAGTGATTAAATGACTCGCAATTCCTGGAGTTTTCCAAGTTGCCTTGAACAAGAGGTTTCTGCTCCCTGGAAACAGACTGTAATTATATACTGATTTATGGATCTAGAAGAAGGTTCCTTTGTTTAACACTCCAGCTGTGACTGTACCCAGTGACACAATGAATTCTCCAGCTGAACTCAGGGAGGGGTTAAACCAGTTTTAAGTGCAATGCTATTTCTCTATAAAAAGGCATTTTGAAGGATAAGCATCAATCAGAACAGACTTGCAGAAGTCAAAAAGGTTCATTAGGGTCCTTCCATTTGGTTTAGGCTCTTTACAAGTGTTCAGTTTGTGCAAAATTAGTGCTTCTGGATGGTAAACAACCCGCTGAAGGTTGCAGTGCTGAACCCCAGCCCAGCTGGCACACGAGCAGTGGGAATGCAAACCACAGTGGCAATTTGGGTGATGTGGACATCTCTCTGGCAGGGAGCTGCAGGAATGATTAGGGACCTGAGAACAAAACTGGTCTCAAAGAAAAGCCAGTGGGATTTAAGCATAGACAGTGAGATTATATGGAAGCGTTTTAGAAGCTTACCACGAATTTTTTTAACAGAACTAGAGAGAAAATACAATATCCAGATAAACCAAATCAGACCTTGATGGTGAGGAGGGAACTATTATTTAGGAGGAGAAGGAGATGGGTTTTTATTTGTTTCTATTAGGAGGGTTTATCCCCAGGGTAGTTTGAGAGACCATCACTGGAATGAGACCTACACGTGACTTTAGGCAGCTACTCCCAGGTTACCTCAAATTCATAAAGTGATATTACTTAATAAGTACTTTGCAGGGAATTTTTCTCTAATAAATGTTGATAGGCTTTTGGGTTTGTCTCTTTCTAATAACAGTGACACCATTTCAGAGCTTCCAGAGAGCTGCAAATTCATCAGCCCATCCCTGAGTGTCCCGGGACAGAGCAGCAGTGCCAATGCTGGCTTCAGGATCTGTGCTCCCTGTGAGAGGGAGCTCTTGTTAAAGCCTTCTGCTCCTCCCTGAAGTAGAACTGGGCCATGGGAAAGAATTGAAAACCTACCAGAGATTAACCGCCAGCCTTTCTTTTCATCTTGAACCAGCAGGGCAGCTGAACTCTGTTAGAGCAGCCTAAGCCACAGTGATACTGGAAATGGCTAAGCTCTGTCTAATAAAAATGAGGTTGATCAGACAAGGAGTTTGTGATGCCAACTCATGATTTCTCTGCTGTCTGCAAGTGTAGTGCACCATCAACAGTGTGCAGGTTCCATCTGCACAGATCCTCGTGTTCCAAAGGGAGCCAACTCCCCTGAGAATGCCTTGCCCATCTCTCCAGGTTATGTGGAACTGCTCTCCTGGATTTTTATCTCCAGCTGATGAACTTGTCTCAGGGTACCAGAGAGAATGGGAAGGTTCTCTGTAAATTTTCACAGGTAAGAAGGGAGAGGAAAGGAAAAAAAAAATTCATTCATGACAACCTTCAGGCACTCTGCTTCTCCTGGTGTTTCCGACACTTGGATTTTTATCCTTTTGGAGATGAGGGGGAAGAGGAAAAGGAGGAAGAGGTTGAATTCACCTTGACTTCTCTTTGTCTCCAGCTGCCAAATATGCACAGAGTCATTATCAGAAAAGAAAGATTTGTTTGTGCCTCTGCTGAGACTTGAGCAATGATATGACTTGAGGGGCACAGGCACTGTCATGATGCATCACAACCCTGGAGGCATTAAAGTGTCTCTGTGCAGCTGCTCAGCCAGAAAAGCTACTCAGATTGCTCAAGTCTTTTCAATGAGCTGAGCCCAAGGCAATATTTTAGTAAGAAACTGCTTCTTTAAAAATTAAAAGGAGTTATTTTTACATCATTTGCATCATTTGACTTGGGTTATTTTCGATGTGTTCTATGATAGGTCACCTGTGTTGCCAGAAAAAAACTCTCAACTAGTTCCATTCAGATTAATTCCCTTAATATACTGACAGCTTTATTGCCTAATTCCTCGCACAGACACCTTCAAAAACCATGAAATTACAAGGGTTAGTTCTATTTTAGTACTGACAGGTGACATGCAACCTGCACACGTTTCCAGGAACGTCTCAACAGTGACCAACAAAAAATGACTCTGTGCTTAGTCATGGATTCCAGCCTTGCTGAAATGACCCAAAATTATCAAGATGAGCTTAGATTCATCTATTTAGTGTTGCCACATCAATCCCAGTCACCCTTTGTGAGTCAGCTGGAGACATGACCTTAAAGTGCAGTTCCACTTAAGCCCAGGAGAAAGTTGCTTTCTCTTGTTCATTCTGTAGTGTAAGAGCTCACTGATGTTAAACCTGCTTGATTTTTTCTTTTTTTCCACCCCTGTGACAGAAACAGTGTTAGCAAGGACATCTAGGAGGGACACTTACAAGACATGTTGTTCTGAACTGAGAAGCTGGACAGGAAAAGGGAAGGAGCAGAACCTCCCTAGTGAGGGCAGAGTTGCTTCGTGCAGCTGTGCTTTTTGCAAAATAAAGTCTGTACACAAACCCAGCATAAAAGAGGAAGCCAAAAAAAAAAAGAAGGGAGTTTTTGCCCCTCTGTGTCAGAAAATGCTGCATGAGCCCACAGTGAGGGTTTTTACATCACTGTAAAAGCAAAATTTTGTTTTACTTCTTCTGATCGTACAATGGTAAATGCTGAGCCCATAAAGTGACACACGCTCAGCCAGCACTGCTGCAACGCTTTCTGCTACTTCATCAAAGTGCCTTTACCTTCTCTTGTAGGACTGTCCCTCATTTCACATGACCCTCCAAAGCAGTTCCTCCTTTTCCACATATCTGGTTTTACCCCACATGAGGCATTCTATCACCAGAACCACAGGACAGCAGGAACACTTCCTTACCTTAACAAGCAACATCCCCTCTGACCCACTCTAGAATCACAATGAATTGTTTTTTTTTTTCTCATCCAGCACAGGATGGTCAGTGATCATCCTATAACCTGCTGTGCACTTTGTTTGGCATCAGGGAAATGGTTGGGCTGGACAAATGTATCATTGAAAGGTTCAATAAGAACACTGTGAGATAAGACTTAGGGGTTATATTCTGCTGAGATTGCCAGGAAGCGTTATGACTACTGGAAAGGCAAAGAAGGATTAGTTACAGTATTTAGATACAAAACATAACAGTGTTTTACCTCAAGAAAAGAAGAAAAGGAAATAAAACACACCTTGGAGCTACTGCAGAAGGAAAAAGGGCAGGAACTGAACACCTGAGACATGGGGGATGGGTGGCTCTCATTCTGCCACAAATATTGGAAAGAAATCTTTTCTCTCTCTCTTAAACTGGGAAACTTTTTCAGTGGTAGCAGCAAACTATCTCGAAGATTCTTATCTATTTTAATCAGGCTTCTTTTAGCACCTGCTGAAATCTCTGAGAGCTCAGGATTGGCTTAAACACATATGAAAAGGGTCCCGTGGCACATATTCCTTGACAACAATCTGTTCTCCTCACCTCATAGAGTGTAATGATGCCATTTGTCTCATTTGGAGGCTTCCACTGCACATAGATCTTCTCTTCAAAAGGTCCTCCCTGGATGGATTCCAAGGGAACAGGTCCAGGAACTACAGGGGGGAAAAAAGCCCAACAAACTGTCTTAAAAACTACCCCCAGCTCCAGCTGCACACACGAGAAGACACCAAAAGGCCACCAGACAGGAAGCTCAGAGTTAAAAATAAATAAATAAAATTAAAAATTAAAATCCATCAAAGCACTAGTACTATCAAAGCCTTATTTCTCCACTTTTGGTTCAAACAAGGATACTCCAATGTAACCACTAAGTGATAAATAAAATTAGAATCCACGAAAATATGGAGCTAATTTCAGTATGGTTTTATTTCAGTACAGCAGAGCAGGAGCAGGGAATTTAATTTGTCCTTCTCTGCCCAAAGCTCTCTCCACCTAAACAGCCAGACTGCACCTTGGCATAGGGATGCTGCTGGGCTGCACACCTTTATCAATGTGAGAGACTGATTTGCTTAGCAAAGTAACAATGTAAGATTTATATTTCATTACGGCTACAAGGCCAGCTAAAAAATCCACCTACTCAAGCAAAATTTTAAAGCTGTGGAAGATAACTAACTAAATGCACTCCCGAGCCTGTCTGATAAAACCCTGCTCATTTTTCTGAAATATCTGCCATCCTTTCTTGTCCCCCCCACATGATATATTGGGCTGGAAGAGCCACTTTGAGCTGAGAGAAACTTAGGAAGCAACTTCTTACAGCTCAGCTGAGGAAAAACTCGTATTTTACATGTTGGACAGGAGGGAGGCTTGTAGTGCATGAGAGTCTGAAACAGCTCAGATGGGACAATAGCACTGAAACACTCCATCACATCAGTTCTTCCAGAAAACTTTTCTTTTATATCCAGAACACAGGAGTTCATACTCAATTAATTTTGCTTCTGAGATCTATATAAAATATGGTGTCCAGAAGATCGATATTAAGAAAAGCTATGCTCTGGAAAGGAAGGCATTATACTCCTCTTGGGACATCTTTTTCTTGTGAAGGCATAAGAAAAAAAAAAATCAACAAATGCCAGGATTACATTTGCCCATATGACAAAGGAAGCTCCTGGGTGGTTGTTGGGTAGTTCAGAACATGGAGAATTAAACCCACAGCTCTTGGGTAACTGCTCAGGCTGATGTTTAACACACTCAAGCACTTCAAGGATCCTTGTCTTTTCAAGAACATGGCTGTGAAAATGAACGAGATGTAAAGCCAAAGGGTCTTTCTCCCCGAAAACTCGATGGGGGAAGGACCTGGCACGCTGAATAAATTCTTCCTTGTTCCCTGAGTTTACACCGTTTTTCTAAAATTAAAAGAGGGGTTTTTCCCACATGTTGTTCTTTACAACCTGCAAACGTGAGTCCTCCCCAGGAACCAAGCAAGCAAACCCAGCCTGACTGTGGTAGTTTAGTCTGGGCCTTCCCTGGTGACCAGTTTGTAACCAAGGAAGTGCTCAGATTACCCGGTATTCCCTATGATTTTTATGTAAGCCAGGGTATAAGAAGAAAGGAGGAGAGGCCTTTACCCTCTTTCCTTCCGGCGGCTTTGGAGGTGCGGGTTTCCTGCTGTTGAGTCTGTCGTGTTGGGGAGTGAGGCCTAGTGAGGCCTGGTGAGGCCTGGTGAGGCCTAGTGAGGCCTTGCCGACCTTGGGGAGGCTGAGGTTGCTAGAGGTCGTTCCAGCACGACTTTCCGTTGTCCCAAGGAGAGTAGTGATATTCTTTTGCTAATTCTTTTAGTTGCTAGATCTTGGGCTATTGATCGTGTATATTTTGTTTTGGTTTTGTTCCCTTTTTTCCTTCCCTTTCCCTTTTCCTTTTGAAGTTGTACATATATTTCAATTGTATATAAATGTAATATAAGTGTAAAATTATTTAGATATATTGTTTTAGCTGCCTCTCTCTCGTTTCGGTTCTCTTGGTTTTTTTTCTCTTTTCTCTTGGTTTTTGGGGGGGGGCAAGCTCTTGTGGTGAGGTTTGGAGACTTGGCAGGGAGCCAGCTTCAAACCACAACAGTCTTTCTCCCTGAAAACTGAGTGGGGAAAGGACACGGCGTGCTGAATAAATTCTTCTTTGTTCCCTGAGTTTATGCCGTCTTTCTAAAATTAAAAAGAGGGATTTTTCCCACATGTTGTTATTTACAACCTGTAAACATGATCCTCCCCAGGAACCAAGCAAGCAAACCCAGCCTGACTCACCATCCTCCTCGGTCTGCACCACCAGCTCCTCGCTCTCCATCTTGCCCTCGGGGTTGGACAGGGCCAGCCTCAGCCTGATGGTCATGAAGGGCCGCAGACCCCGCAGGGTGTAGTGGGAGGAGGTCTGGATGAGCTCCTCCGCCTCGAACTTCTGCTGGTTGAACACGTACTGGTACTGCACGGTGAGGTTGTAGCTGTGGCAGCGGGTCACGGCGTAGCCGAAGGGCTCCCACTGCAGCGTCAGCTGCCGCGAACGAATGTCCACCACCTCCACGTTCTGGGGGCCGTGCACGGGATCTGCGGGGTAGGGAAAGACAAAAATAGCACACCTTGATATTAAAACAAGCCAGTCATCCATTAACGTGTTTCATTCCTTACGTCCAGAGTATCCCAGCACTCCACAGTTGGGAATGCTCTTGTCTGTGCAGTGTATGAGTGATAGGAAGTGAATGTCAGAGCTACAAATGCATTCTGGCTCCTGAGTTTTCCCTGAAAATCCCCTCTCACAAGGCCCTGAACAGTGGTCACGCTCCTGATTGCTGTGAAACCTCACTGAATCTGACAATGGCAACGTGATCTTGCCAGGTAAGGGGTGGGAAAGTTACATTTTCTTCATTCTTCCAGAAAAAAAATAGCAAAAGTAACAGTAGTTGAGGGTCTGCTTGACAGTGCCCAAGGAGTTTGGTGAGTCCAACCCTAAGTGATGCAAACACGAAGGAAATGGCCCTTGGAGAAGGAATGCACTCAAGTCTTTCAGCTTCCAATTCAGCTCTGTAGTCCCTACACCCTCCTGCTGCCCTTGAACTCATTCTGCTGAGAGACTGAAGCCCAAAAGTGCAAGAATTAAGACTAAGAACCTGACTGTTGAGCTTCCAACAGCCCAGTGCTGCTGTCCCCTCATCTGTCAGACACTTGAATGTTCTGGCAGTGGGGTGTTCAAGCAGATCCTGCCACTCCTGGACCAAGTTTTCTGAGTCATCTCAACCTAGTGCCAATAAAACTTTTATCCCAGATCATCTCCACGCCTTGGTCCCACCAAAGTTTCTCTGCTCTTTATTATTCTTTCTGCAGTGTCTGGCTGAGGTACACTTTGAATATTCATGTGTAGGAATCATTTTCACCTGCTGTTCCTTAATTTATTTTTAACAGCATAACTCAGATGCTCTGACTACACTCTGCCCTTTATATAAAATATAAATGCATGTACTGCTAGACATGTGGATATAAAGAATGAAGGATGAGTGAGTAAAATCAGTGTTTGAGATAAGTCAGATGGTGATAATACTACAGATGTCATAGTTTGTTTATCTGACAGTTTTTCAACTTGTACAGCTCAGCTTGTATTTGCTTTTTTGCTCAATATATATCTAAGCAAGGTAATTAGAAAATACGTAAATTCACATAAAGTTTCTTGATTTATGGCACAATTCAGGGTTCTGCCCACTTCTTGTGTTCTCTCACGACTTTAACCTATGAAAGGAACATTTTCATGGGAACAAAAAAGTTGGAAGAACTCCTGACTACTAGTCACACTTATTTGAAACATAATTCAAGTGGAAAAAAAAGCCTTCTAGTAATTCCTGAAAGTAAAGCACCAGCCATACTGACTCCAATCTACTCATGCAAGAGCAGAAAATACACTGTAACTACCTACATATTCTGAATTACTGCTAAAAATCCCATAAAGACTGGCAATGGGAAAATATTCTGCATCTTTATATAGGCACACACATATGCAGACACTTTGGAAATAGGATGGATATTAAAAGACCAGGGGTCTAAAGTTAGCAAGTGGTTTAGGTTTCCACATAAATCATGTCAATCCTGTAGCATCCAGAAAACACCTCCTAAATAAGAGTATTTACTACTCTGTGTGTCAAAAAAAATGTCATTTAGAGATTAGGAAGTTTCTATGCATAAATACACACATATATATTTAGCATTAGGTGCAGAGCATTCATTTACTATAAATCCATGGAAGGCACATTTCTGCAGATGAATTGTGTAGATAAATGAGGTGATCAAAAGAATGGTTCTGTGAAATCTTTCACAGATCAATCTGAGAAATCAACAGCCTCTGAAACAGTAAAGGTAAGCCCAAGACATTCCAAGACGCATCAAATGGAAAAAATAACTAAAAAAAAAATAAGTTCATAAGTAAAAACAACTTAAATTTTAGGTTAGAGAGAAAGAAACCAAACTGGAATTAGATCAACAAACAGAAGCTGGCCCAAGAAAGCTTTACATTCTCTCCAGTTCCCTTCTCTCAGTTTCAATCTCCTTTTTTTCCTGAAAACTGAGACTATGTAATTTTGAAAATGTTTTCCTGTTGCTACAGTGATTTTCTCTGTAGCGGAAACCATTGAAACCTCATTTTCAGAGCTGAGATTTTGTATTGCTGTTCTTAAAGGACAGTGGTCCTACTGTCCTCTCCATTGAATTCCTTCTCCACGTCAGCTTTGTAAGTATTCAGTCTCAAAAGGTCTGTAGTACCTATCCCTGGGGTTTGACTGTCTAACAACACCCAATTTTCATAATCTGTTAATGACTTGTTTCCCCAAAAAAAGAAAAAGTGTTTATAATTTGTCTACAATCCTCTGGTAGTGGTGAATATTTGAAACTGGACAAACGTCTCCACTTCTGTATTCTTGGAATTATAGCTTTCAAATAATCCAAGAAAATGCCTGAAAATTAGGAACTTTGTACTTGGCTAGCGGCATAAAAGCTGCCAATATGGATCTCAGGTTCAACTACATAAAGCTACCCATCAAAGCAGGACAGAAACAGACTGGCCCAATTCGAGTACTTAAGAGATCAGATATAAAAAAACATCAATGTAACCTGCATAAACTGATGTAAAATTTTCTAATTGTCCTGAGACCTTGGGGAAAAAAGCCAGAGGGAATTCTTAAGAGGCCAGAGCAATGAAAGAGCTGCCACCAACCTGCTACCATGAGTCTTGAACCCACGCAAGGAAAATTGCAGCCTCTGGGATTTCACTGTGCAAATGCACATTTTTATTTCAGCCCAGCTGGACCACTAATTACATTTTGAAAGTTCACATCAAAGTCCAGGACTGAACAGTTATTTTTCCATGCCACATCACCCACTGATGCTTCACTACCTGTCATTACTCTGGTGGGCTGCTGTGAACAGTCAGCAGCCAGGAACCTTTGTGAGCACTTGGGATGTGAAAGTCTAGAGGGGTCTGGAGCATGAGGCTGCTGAGGAGCAGCTGAGGGAGCAGGGGGGGCTCAGCCTGGAGAAAAAGAGGCTCAGGGGGGACCTTCTGGCTCTGCAACTCCCTGACAGGAGGGTGGAGCCAAGGGAAGTCGGGCTCTGCTCCCAGGGAACAAGGGACAGGACAAGATGCACTGAGGGGGTTTAGATGGGATATTGGGAATGTTTCTTGAGGGAAAGGGTGGTCAGGCATTGGAAAGGGCTGGCCAGGGAAGTGGTGGAGTCACCATCCCTGGAGGCATTTAAAAGATGTGTAGATGTGGCATTTGGGGACGTGGTTTAGTGATGGCTTTGGGGACATGGTTTAGTGATGGGTTTGGACTTGATGATCTTTGAGGCCTTGTCCAACCTAAATGATTCAATGATTCCAAGTGGTCTGAATGAAGCAAACCCTCCCAGTGATCCTTCAGTGGTACCCTGTGTCCTCAGTCCTGGTAAGGAGACACTGTTGGCCCAACAGTGACGTGCAACGTTCAGACACTGCTTATTCTGCCATCCAAATTTCACAGAAAAGTTGACTTTTAGGGCTGGTTTTGCTCTTTCCTTATTGAGTGTCACAGAGCTCATTTTGTTCACTGCTGTCCTCGTGCTCCAGGTGAGGTGTAGAAAAGAAAAGGTCGATTTAGATTATCAATACCAATTGTCATGGCTTTGTACCCTTCCACCAGGAGAACAGAGAGCAAAGGAAGCCGTGGTGACACACTGGGGTTTGAACACAGAGCTCATGAGGAGGGAACTTAAATACAGACAATCAGCTGCTGCCCCCGGGTTAAATACCTGCTGCAGGAGCCTAATTGCAAGAGATTGCTGCTGTCAGTAAAGACACGACAGGAGTGGAAGGTGTCTGTACTCATCTGGGGCCCTGTGCCCGTGTCTCCTGACCCTCTGGAGAGCAGGAGGCAGTTTATTAGCAGCGCAGGTGTCCACTGATTAAATTCTGTTTCCCAGCAGCAGGTTATAGGGGCTGAGAATGCACAAAGGGAAGAAAAATGAGCATGACATGAGCAGCAGCTTCGTGTGAATCCTGAGCCGATGTTTTCTGATACAGAAAGAGAAAGAAAAGAGGTGCAAGTATGATTTCTGCCTTCCCCCAGCACACCCACAGCAGAGCTCACCAGCCAGTCACTCCAGCCAGTGCAGGCCAACCAACATCTGGGCACCCCAGTGATGTCCCCAGCCCCTCCTCCAGGCACACTGGGTGCACTGGTGGTTAGTAAGGCCACCAAATCTTGTGCTCTCCCAACTACTAGCATGGTACAGCCTCTCTCTGTAGCCCAGAAAAATATTTAAATTCATTTCCACTTACAAAATATAAATCTGGCAGGATCACAGAATGGTGGAGAACTGCACAGAATATTTCACTCTCACAATAAATTTAAACAGTGGCCACTTTTCAAGCAACAGCAACAAAACTATTATGACAGAATCACTGAAAGGTCCCAGCTTGGGTTGGCAGGGACCTTAAAGCTCAGCTTGTTCCTCCTCCTGCCATGGGCAGGGACACCTTCCACTAGACCAGGTTGCTCCAAGCCCCGTCCAACCTGGCCTTGAATCAACAGTTTAGGAAGTTTCCTTTGTGTTTTTCAAAGACAGGTGAAAAACCAACAGAAATGTGTCCAACAATGATTTTACTCCAGGCACTAGATAAAAGCTGACGCCTTCTTATTGTCCCCTTTACTCCCTCTTCCTCCTTAAATTTCCACAGGGAAACACACCTACTATCAAAAAATGGAGCAAGACAAACTGAGTAAAACCACTGAAGTGGTTTGCCTTAAATGCAAAATTAAGTGTGATGGTTGAGGGTAAAACAAGCGACTCTACAGCGTGTGCTGTTCATCTCTGCCAAGAGATCCTGACAGATGCATTGTCCCATAAACACCTTCTGTATCCATGTCCTATGCATGGACACTTCTGAATGATGGACAACTGTCCATCCCTGAAGTGCAGCATGGTTTTGTGTGACAGTTTCTCTGCTGAGCGTCACAGCTGCTGCCCATCATATTTCAATGCCTCTGAGCCCAAATGTGGTATAAATACCATAAATACCTTTTCAGACA